GCAGTCACTTGACCCTGAAATGGTGAAACCAGGTGTCCAGCGGGAGTCTGGACACTATTCTTAAGCCTCTTACTTTTTGTATTCTTGTGAGGCTCACATGACAATCCACCACTACCCTCCAATCCCCACTCATCCTCCACTAATCTGGCCTGAAACCCTTTGCACACTCTGCCAAGCAGCAGCCCAACCATAGGCAACTCAACAACTCCCTCTTGCACAGGCCACGCGCTCTCAGGCTTCTACTGACAGTGTCGCTGCGCCCAACGAACTCCTCCTTGGGTCTCAGCCTGACAGTGCCTCCCGCAAGTCTTCTCTGATCACCCAAGTAAACTTAGTTGCTGCTTCCTTAGTGCTCTTAGAGCACCTGATAACTCTCATTATTGGCATTTATTACACTGTATCCTAATTAGGGGTTTGCAGTTTGTTTTTTTCCAAGCATACTGTGAGTTTCTCAGGGGCAGGCATTGAATCTTTATCAACTTTGTATTCCTAGCAAGGAAAAAATGGAAGGAAGGGGAAAAGGAAGGCAGGAAGGGAGGGAGAGAGGGAGGAAAGGTGGGCAAATGCAAGAGACTGCTACATAGAACATATTAGATGGTATCATTTGAAATTGCCAATATTCTATGCCTTCTTGTCTACAAAATGGTAACTTTATATTTCACCTGGTATAATGAGGGTCGGTTTCCCCACTAGCCAGACCCACCCGAGTACATCCACTCACCCTCTAGTAGTCCCTGCTCTCTGTCTTTTGTTTTGGGACAGTTTATATGCGTCTTGACCACACAAAATGGTTAGGATGGGGGCTCACCAAGGACGGTGGTTCTTGGGCAGCGTACAGACCAAAATTGATGGGGGCTTTCTGTACCTCTTCTCATTGAGACCACCTTGAGAGGTCCCTCTCTGAGTCCCCTCTGAGCGGGGAGGAGAAGGCTGACTCAGTGATGATGGGGAGTGGTCTGCAGGTGGGGGCCCAGCCACTCTAGCACCAGCCACCATCAGAGCTTGACTGTCTCTCCGGGAAGACCTCCCTCGCCTCTCACAGCACCCCAAATCTGATCCTCTTGTCTTAGGGTTTGACCTCCTTCAAGGCCTAGCCCCCTATCTCCTCCTTCCCCTTTTCCAGCCCAAGGGACCCTCATCACTGGAGGGTGGGAGAAAAGGGCCTCTTCCTCTACATTCTTTTCAATTTTGGTTATGACTTAACGTCTTTGCTCCACCCAGTCCTGGCCTGCTATTTGGATCCTCCGAGTTTAGAAGTTAAAGAGAAAAAAGGGTCTTTTCCTGCTTCTCCGCATCTTCACTAGATCCTAATTCCCAAATTCTCCTTAAGGCCAAGGGTCTCCTCTGTCTACTGATACAAGTGTCAGGAAATACAAGGGTTGCAGGGAGGACACAGACTAACTTTTCCAGAGTTGTTTCACCTCGGGCCGACGTGACTATCTCGGTCAAAAAGGCCTTTGAAGTGCTCCTAAAACCATCCTATGAGATTCAGCACACACACTGCCTGGAGTGCTGGCATTCACTACCATCCCTTAAAACCCTCAGTCTGGCTGCATTTCTGGAGAGCTGGCACTTTAGAGGTTGACCTCTCTCCACATGCTGCCTCCAAGCCCTCTCCTCTTCCCCCTCGATTTTTAAAGTGTTAAATGAACATTTGCTGGCAATTTGCTCTGCAGGGTCTGGCCAAGGCAATTATCTATTAAAATCCAAGAAAATGATGCATCCTGGGGACTGAACGTCAACAGCAACCAGGCCAGGGTAGGCTGGTGGTGGTGATTTGTTAACTTCATTGGGGGCAGGGGCGTACACGGGTGGCATCTGTCAAAGGAAGGGAATGGCTCCTCTGGGGCCTGGCTAGGACTGCTCAGAGCCTCCTCCTCATCACCAGGTCTGGGAAGGGGTCCCATCTCCTGTCTCTCCTCTTCCCTTGTCCTCAGGCCTGTGGCTTCATCTCTGTTTTCCTCTTCGCTGACGTCCCCAGCCTGGCCTCTTGCCGGCCCCTCTCCAGTGTCTCCCTCTCCTGTTTTATGCCACCTTTCCGTCTCTCTGTTTCTTGACTTCCCTGCCACTAGCCCCTTCTTGGGAGGTGGCACCTTCCATGAAGCCATAGGCCACGTGGTCTCAGGAAGAGGTAGCCAGGACTTTAACTGACTGTCCTCATGGCCCAGGAGAAGTCACCAATCACTCTGCACCTCTGTTTGAACAAAGAAGTTGGGACAAGTTACTTTTCAACAGCTTTATTGAGGTATGTAATTAATGTATAATAATCTGCACATATTCAAAGTGTATAATCTGATTAGTCTGACAGATGTATTAGCATACACCCACGGAAGCATCACCACCATTGAGACAATAAATATGCCGGGTGCAGTGGCTCACACCTGTAATCCCAGCACTTTGGGAGGCTGAGGCTGACAGATTGCTTGAGCCAAAGAGTTCGAGACCAGTCTGGGCAACATGGTGAAACCGTCTCTACAAACATACAAAAATGAGTCAGGTGTGGTGGTGCGGTGTGCGCCTGTGAGGAGGCTGAGATGGGGGGCATCCCTTGAGCTTGGGAAGCTTGAGGCTGCAGTGAGCCACAATTGCACCACTGTACTCCAGCCTGGGTGACAGAGCAAAGCCTTGTCTCAAAAAATCTAAAATAAATAAATAAATAAATAAATATACCCACCACCTCAAAACGTTGCTCATGCCCTCATGTCCTCCTACCCCTCCCAGGTCCCTCCCCTTGCCAGGCAACCACTGATCTGCTTTCTGACACTATAGTTTACATTTTCTAGAATTTGTACATCAGTGGAATTGTACAGTATGTGCTCTTTTTCGTCTAGCTTCTTTCACTGAGCATAATGAATTTGGGGATTCATCCACATTCTATCAGGTATCAATAGTTCATTCCTTTTTATTGCTAAATAATATCCCACCATATGATATACCACAGATTCTTAATCCACTCCCCTGTTGATGGACATTTGTGGTGTTTCCAGTTTGGGCCTATGACAAAGCTGCTGGGGTCCTTCATGGGCAAGTATTTATGTAGACACGTGAAGCTCATAACTCCTTAGGGGGCTGTGCTCACTTTCTTGGCAGCTCAGCAGCTGCCAAGACCAGATTCATCCTTTTCCCTCCCTGTAATTCAGCCGAGGATGAAACGGGCAGGCAGCATGCTTGAGTTTGAACCCTGCCCACCACTTGCAATGTGACCTTGTGCACCTCTTGGTATCCTGGCTTTCTTTATGTTCCTACCTCCATGGGTTGTGTGAGCATTCCATGACCGTATGAATCTGAAGCATTTGGTGCAATGCCCAGCACAATGTTCAGAAATAGTAGCTGTTCTCATTTTGCAGGCACCTCTGAGAAGATCTATACAATCTGGAATGGGCTTCCTCTAGAATCTCTGAGCAGTTACCCTAACCCTTTGAAGTGGCTCCATTTCACAGAGGAGTAACTGAGTCCCAAAGCAAAGAGTGACTTGAGTAGGGTTTATCTTTGATTTGGGAGTGAATGCAGGCATGTCCTGATACCCAGCTATTTCCTATTTGGGTGATGGGCAGGGAGGAAGTCGGAATTTTCCAATTACTTCTCAGAGTGTCTCCTGGAGAGCCCTGAGAAGTAGCTCAGCACTTCTAACCAGAAGACTATGAGTAGTAGCTAACCAGAAAACTATAAGCCCCTAAGTGTTCCTACAAAACCACACTCATTTAGTCAGTTCCCCCGGGCTCAGCAACCTGGAAACCCCATAAAATCACAGTCAAATCAGGAGGGAAAGAGATAAGGGTAGGGACGCTGCCTACCCTCCTCCCCTGCCCCACAGGGCTCTAAGTAGCCCAGAAAGGGGCTTCTGTGTGTCTTAGGCAAGCAGGTCGATCTCTGGAAGGTACTCACGCCATCTGGCATCTTTACAGACCAGGCCTCCGAACTCTGGCTCTGCCCCTTCCTAACTGTGTCAGGGTAGGCCAGGCTTGCCATGGCAACACACAACTTGTAAGTTCAGTGGTTTAACACAATGAAAGTTTATTTCTCATTTACACTCTATGAACAACATAGGTGTGAGGGTGCCAGAGTCTTAATGCTTCCGCTAGAGCTAACGCACATCAGTTCCGCCACATTTTATTGGTTAAAGTTGTTCACATGTCCACAGCTAGCATCAAAGAAGAGCGAGAACATGCAGTCCTACCTTGTGCCAGAAGGCAGAGAGCCGGAAATATTTGGAGACAGCACTAATGACTACTACACTAGCCAAGTGACCTTTGAGCTCATTTCCTCTTCTGCAAAATGGGGACGAGAACAGTATTTGCCTCATAGATTGTTGTGAGGATTAAAAGAGAAATGTTATGTAACACCCTTGGCACAGTGTGGCACACGGGTGAGGTTGAGGCCCGGGGTATTTGTGTACAATGAGGACCCAGCATGCCCAGCCTCCCTCCTCCCCTGCAAACACTGACCCCGGACCCCGAGGCCCGTCACTGAGTGGTTAGCAGAGGATGGATAATTTTCCGCAAATCTGTCTTCTCCCACCCTCTGGATCTGACACTGACCACTTGCGCCAGGCAAACTTCATTGCCATAAACTATCCCCCGCCCACCCCCAGCTTCATTCACACTCATGTGAGACTTCTTATCCCTCACGTGACTGCTTTATGACAAATCTGCCCTTCTGTCCAGTTAGAGGATAGGAGTCCATTGAAGAAGGGATAGAGAATCCAAGAGAAATGTGAAGGAAATTAACATCCATTTTTTGCTGAGCACTGTGCTGGATGCTTGACCCACGTTACCTCATTTAAACCTCATAATAGTCCTGTAATGAAGTGAGTGTGATTATCCTCATTTTGAGATGTGGGAGCTGATGCTTGGAGTAGTTACACACCGGCCCAGGGTTACATAGCTAGTCAGTTGCAGAGCTAGGATTTGAACCCAAAACTCTGGGACACAGAAGACCACACTTCAGCTTCTGGGCTGTCTTTTGCTATTTCATTCAGACTTTTTTTGTTTGTTTGTTTGTTTGAGACAGAGTCTTGCTTTGTTCCCCAGGTTGGAGTACAGCGGTGCGATCTCAGCTCACTGAAATCTCCACCTCCTGGGTTCAACCGATTCTTGTGCCTCAGCCTCCTGAGTAGCTGGGATTACAGGCATGTGTCATCACATCTGGCTAAGTTTTGTATTTTTTAGTAGAGGTGAGGTTTTGCCATGTTGGCCAGATTGGTCTCGAACTCCTGGCCTCAAGCGATCCACCCGCCTCAGCCTCCCAAAGTGCTGGGATTACAGGCGTGAGCCTCCACACCTGGCCCAGACCTAACTTTTATCCAGGCTATAAACTCACCAACAGCCCAACCATAGATGTTTAGCCTTTGGGTTCTATTGTACTGTTGTGGAACTGCCCTGCTTCTGGAGTACAGGGACTAGGCTTTTAGTCACTGCTCAGTCCCTATCTTACTGTGCAACTTTGGACAAGTCCTTTGACCTCTCTGGGCCTCAGTTTCTTCACTGAAAATGAAAGGGCTAGACTAAATTTCTCAGGTTCTTTCCACATCTAGGATTTGGTAACATTGAGAATTGCCCATAGCTCTTCCTGCCTTTGGCCCTCATACTGTATTAGAAAGCATCACAAAGTAGAAAGGTAGATAAAGATCCCACATTTGAAGTTATACAGAGCATTAATTAGACTCTCATTATTATTTGAAACTAAAAATAGTTTAAGATTGATGGTGTGTTTGTAATCCATAGCAGTTTTCTCCCTTCCTTGCTATTTATAACAACTCTGGTTTCCTCTGTAACTAAGTCTGTCTCCTCCTATAAAAGAGGAAGTCAGGCTAAGTCTGCCCCTGAGCTAAGATCTCCTGAGTCTGCACCCCAGGAGAGGCTCTCTAGAGCTCTGAGCTCCTGTTGCTGGGCAGAACTGGGCTCAGTCTCCAGGTGGGCATTGGAAGATGTGGCTGGACTATATGCCAGCAGGATGGGCTATGCCTGTTCTCCCATGGAACCATGCATAGCTGCTGGGGTGTGGCTGGGTATTAGGATTGGAGATCCAGAATGCTGTATCTTCCACTCCTATAACTTTTGCTTAATGCTTAGAGAGTTTTTGTAAATGCCAATGCCCAATGCTAACCCTGAAGAAGATAAAAGGAAACAGAACTCAAGTTCAGGCCACTTTTGGGAGACATTTCCAGGGCCTACAACTATCTCTTAGGTTTTTAATTTGTTCCTATAGGGTTGTTGTTGAGAGCTGAGTGTCCTGGGAGATCTGGGCATCCCAGATGGCTGCCCCAAGTTGCTGCCGGAGTATTTTAACTACAGTAGTGTGGGAGCTTCCTGCCTCAGAGAGGGCTTCCCACACCTCCCCCAGGTTCCCATCTGCCCAGACGCCCACAGCTCCTGTCAAGAGAAATGATGGAAGAAGCCCCAAGATACCTGGGGGAAGGGCCTCAGCTCAGGACAAGAGCTGGGGCTCCAACCTCAGTCCAATCAGGGAACTCTCAGGGCCACTCATGGTTGTGTGCATGTGTGTGTGTTTGCCTGTTTCTGTGAGATAGTGAGGAAAGATTTGGGGGTGGGGGAGATACGCACATGGGCAGCTAATCCTGAGAAACTTTGGGGTCTGAGAAGGAGGGAAAGAAAGAAGAAAAGCTGGAAGGGGATAGAGGTGGTGGGAGAGAGGGGGATGGGAAAAACCAAAGAGAGGAAGCAGTGGCTGTGCTGAAGCTGGACAGAGACCGAAAAGGACAAGTCTTGTCCTAAACTTCCTCTGACCCACCTAACCTAAATCTCCCCACGCTGTGGTTTAAGCCTCTTTCCCACCTTGGTTCTCTGTCTAGCCTCTGAGCAGCAGAGTCCAGGAGTGACGTCGGGATGCTGGCTGCCCTGCTGCTTCCTGGTGGCCCAGGAGGGAGCTACTTCTGAGTAGCCAAAGTCCTGAGGCTCTGACATTTAGGAGGACTGAGTTTCCCACCCATGTGCATCCCTGCTTCCCCTGACTCGACACCCAGTGACCTGGAGGGATGCAGAGGGGGTGGGCAGCAGCTCTGGAGGCATTTCCCAGCAGTAGAACTGTGAGTCAGAAGGGTCATCTACTATCGGAAGTCAGAGGGGACCTCCTGCAGGCAGGAAATCAGAGTTGGGCCCCAGAGAAGTCCAGAGATGAGTTGGCGGGAAAGTAGCTCTTCAGAAAGCAACATTACCGTCCGGGAAGGCTGAACCTGGAGCCCGCTATGCCTACAGGAAAAGCCTGGGCCAGCCTAGCTCCCTTCTGCCTGGGCATCACCATCCCTTCCGCCTTGGCATCACCATCGCTTCCGCCTTGGTGGTCATCTGGGAAGTCTGGAACAAGATATACAAGTTCAAATCCGGAGTCTGTTGCTTATATGCTGCAATTCATACATGTGAGGCTCAGTTTCCCCATCTGCAAAATTTAAAAAGAATAAAAAAGCCTATTTCACAAGGTTACAGGGATAAAATGAGAATATGTGCATAAAATACCTTGTGTAGGTGGTCCATATGTGTTAGTCTCCTCCCCACATCTTATTTTGGTTGGAAGATGGGGAGGAATGTTGCAGGATCTGACTGCAACATTCTGCTAGCCTCCTGGTCCGGGAGAGGTGATCCCCTGGCCCCAGGGACAGCTTCCTCTAGATTCAAATGCTAATAAAAGGTCCAGGATCCCACCAAGACCTCCTCTCCAGCCTCCATCCTGGGGGCACTGCTCGCAGTGCTCCTCCTGTTTGCCATGGGGATGAAAAGGATGTGTTGATTGGCCCTTGAAATTTGCTCTTAAAATTATCTTTGGTTTTGATTTGACCTTAATAGGTCAAGCCAAACAGGGATCTGAGCTACTGCATGAAGCAGTTATTGCGGGGGGTGGTGGGTTGCGAGTGGAGGAGAGAAGGGGAGGAAGATGGCACCAACAGATGCATCCTCAGACCCCAGTCCACACCCTTGCCAAAATCTCTGACACAGTTTCATCATCTGAGGGTGATGTAAGAGGCCTGGAGTCAGACTCCCCTTGCTCCCCTCCCCCAGAGAGCCCCATCCACATCTGGAGCTGCAGCTGGGTCCTTCTCTTGGGCCCTTTCCAGGGGAGGGAGCTGGGTGAAGTGAGGGCAGCTGGTGAGGGGCCCTGTGAATGGCCCCAATGTTGGGAGGCAGGGGGCAGGGAAGAGGCCTCTGGGCTCAGAGGGAGGGAGGTGGACTGGGAAGGGAATTGTGACTTTGCAGCATTGGTCTCCTCCTCCATCCAGGCCCAGTGTTAAAGTCTCCATGGTCCTCCTTGTCCTTTATATCCATTCCTGCAGGCAGCTGCCCTCCTTCTTCCCTTCCCCACCCACTTCACCGCCCAGCCTCTCTACCCAGGTGCTCGGAACTGAGGGCCCCCTTTGTTCCTTCCTTTCCCCCAGGGCAGCTCAGGCCTCCCACACTGACCCTCTGGCCCTACTGCCACAACAAGCAGAGTGTGAGCCAGGCCCAGTGGGGTCATCTGTGGGTCATAAAGGTCAATGGGACAGTCGTCTAGCAGTAGGGAGGGGCTAGTCTTGGGCTAGGAGCCTGGCCAGGAATCAGCTAAAACACGAGCTTTAAAATGCTGCAGGGCGGGGGTGGGGGGAAATTTATTTAGGGGCTAGCAAGAACTTCCTTCAAGAAGGGTTGGCGAATTTACTGGAATAAATGCAGAAGGGAAGCTTTCCTGGCTCTTGTGAACTATAAACCGTCAATCGCTGTGAGATCCCCGGGAGACCAGGGTTCTTACCAGGCTTACCCACGAACTCGCTCTGTGACCTTCGGTAGTTCCCCTCTTTAAATCTCAGTTTCTTCATTTATGAAATGAGGGTCCCATTGAAGCTTGAGGTTCTGCCACTCCAGGAGCCAAGGTTCTAACGTGGTCTGCGTCCCGCGCCTCCACCCCCCCTCCCACTCTAACCCTCCAATCCCGCCCCCTACCCCCAGCCACCCGTGGCCGCGAGCCAAGAGGTCCCTTTAAAGGCGCGAGTCCCGCCCCCGCTGCTCATTAGGGCTTTCGATTGGCGGCTCCCGGGCTGGGCGGGGCCCGG